AAAAATTTGTAGGACCGCAAGTATCTTCGAATATAAATGAATCATTAGATTTTTTTAAACTATTTTTACCGATGAACTTATTAATGAAATAGTGAGAAACAAATAATTATATAATAAAAAAGTTAGAAGGAAAAGTACTATTGCTCTACTTGCCTCGACAAACCGAGGATACATCTTGATAATTGCTTCATAAAATATCACATAAATATAGATTTTAATATTCGATAAATTAAATTTTTTTATATGTAAAGATACATAAAATATTAAAATATAAAAGTTTTATGCGTTAATTTGCGTATGAAATTCCACCGAACGCACTGAACGTGTGATTCGAGTTGCTGCCTCGAACGAAACAGAGCTGGAATGCAAAGGATTAATCCTGTGAATGTTTCGCTCTATCTTACGATACTCTTCGATCGATTGATCCATTGCAGCCACGCTCGTTGAAAACTGCGAAGGAACTCGCCCCTCGTGGAAAATGTTGCGAACTATCCGAGTTCCAAGTTTCACGCAGGCAAATTTCTTCCCTTTTAATCGATCTCACGTTCCAACGAATGGAATGTCTTTGAATGTTATTAAGAAGAAACGGCATTGTAAGAAGGTTTGAATCGAATGTTTAATCGAATAACTTTTATTTTGGCAACTCCATCTTTTTCTTTTTCTTAGAAGCTTCGAGAAATTTGGGGAAATTTATTATTTTTCACCTCAGAATTCAATGGAACGAGGATAAAAATGGAAGTTGTTTTTATTAGAGGAAGGAATCGACGATATTTTGTGTAATATTATAAATTAGTTTATTCGATAGATATTGAAAATTGCATACAAAATCGGATGAAATTCTTTCTCGTATAATATTTATCATACCATAAATTATTTACAATCGTTAAAGAACGGCAGAATTAAGTAACGAATCTGGTGATTGGAAAGAAGATATAATATAATTTACTTTTTATCACGCGGATTAAAAAAATATCGTATTGTGGATGAGATATAATAAAAATAAAAATAAAAATAAATAAGATGTACTACAACCGTATTGCCCGTCGATTTTCTCGAGAAATCGGATCGTCGATGCCTCGAGAAAAATTCGTTTAGAATAAAAGAAAAAGACAAGACCCCAAAACGAGTACTCAAATTTGACCTAAAAAAAAGATATAATAAAGTACATAATAAGTGGAAAATATATGATCGAAATAATTTCGTTCTAACATAATAGGAGAGAATCTAGGTGAAATTTGAGATAACTTATGCGATCAGGTCCTCCGAGTAAAATGTATTTAAAAATGTTTCTAAAGTCTCTTAAATTACACAGATTTATATTAAATAATATAAAAGCGGTAAATATTTACATATTTTGGCTGATGCGATTTCGACTCGCTTTGCCCCACGAATTTTTTTTCAAAAATTTTCTTGCGATTCTTTGCGATCGAGGAAAAAATTTCCATGAGAAATTTTCGAGGAGGAGAGCAAGTCTGTCGAAGTGTCGAACGCTTTCACCGAACGCGTTCGTGAAATCGACGATTTATCATTTCCGCTTTCCTCCAGGAGTGGGGGAGCCGAAGATCTAGAAGAGGGATCTAGAAGAAGACGTTCCCGGGCCTGGCCTGGGGGCACAGGAAGCTGGAACAATCGTGTCTTCGCACCGCGTCCATCACCTGTTGAAAATGGCTCGACACTTGGATGGCTGCACCTGGTTGAATTCTGCGAAAATCCCATTGTTCAATGAATATTAATAATGGCTGGTTGAGAAAATTTATTGGAAAAAAAGAGAGGCATTGATATTCGAGATAATAGAAAGAGGATATGTAATCGATATTCGATAAAAAGATGTGTTAATAAATAGCTGGAATCGAAAGTATTGTTCACTATTGAAAAGAAGTCTAGCAAGACGGTACAGGAAGAGGAATCCTTTTCTAAGATTGTCTATTCTCATTAAACGCTTTGTTAACAATCCTGACACCTCATGTTATATAATAGTTATATAATAGTAGAAGTTGTAATTTGAATATTGAATATTAAAAATTATTTTCATTTAAAACTGAGAATTGAAATATTTTCGAAATTATCTATAATATGTTTAATTTATTCATATATGATTATTATCTTAACTGCATGAATATAAAATTACGTTTATAAATTAAACTATCGTTACGAATCGTAATTAGTCTATGCTAGTGTATTATAAGAAAATAAAAAAAATATTTATTTTATATCGATATATCTTAGAATATTTTGTGCCTACGCTAATGCATCGAGGTTTAGATGCAGACAGTGAAAATTTAGTAGTTGAAATTACGAATAAGTTACTTGGATAATTTATCGTTCGAAACATAATAATAATTGGAAATAATTATGTCATTCGAGCATTTTAAGAATTACTCAAAATAACTTTATTTAAAATTTTCGAAAAGATCATTGATCATTGATTATGAATTAGTATATGTGATGAATATCACAGTAGAGATAAAAAATGTGTATGAAAATAGGCCTTTCTTTCTATTAACCAATCAGATCTGCATTCCTTCCACGAGACTTCTTTCTACCAGTGAACAGTAGTTATTTCTAGAACCGTAACGATAGGTTAGAATTGTATCGAGTCGTACGGAATTGACGAATTCGAACGTAATTTCTTTAAAATTTTTATATAATACATTATCGATAAATCGGATAAGAAAAAGACGTTAATAAGCGTTAGAGTCGAAAATAATTATTTCTCGAATCGTGACAATGGGCCAAAGTTGAATCGTACGAAATTGACAAATCGAACGTTGTTTACAAATGTGTGTGATACGAATCTCAAATGATTCGAACGTAATTAATTCTTCTCAAAATCTTCGATATCGATAAGTCCGATGAAATAAAGACCTTAATAAGCTAGAGTTGAAAATAGTTATTTCTCGAATCGTATAAAATTGATAAATCGAACATCGTTTACATCGAACGTGTGTGAAACGAATCTCGACGTTGATTCGAACATAACTACTTTTTCTCAAAATTTTTTATAA